AGGTAGATGTCATTCAAATTTGCGTTTAATTTTCTGTAACCTCACACTTTCACCACGCTTAACGTCATCTTGTTCCGTCATGAAGAGCTCACTGCGTTACGGATCAACAGAGATCTCATACTAATTGTTCTGCGGAGAAGTTAAAATAGGTAAAAATCGCGAATATCAATAATTAACGGATTGACAACATTAATATCTTCATTACTACTAAGAGAGAAACGAGGATAAATATACACTATTAATTGTATATTTATAAATACATTAATTTTTACGAGTGATTCATAAGCTATATTAATTTTTATTATTGTATAAATGTACTATAATTGTAACTGTTGTTACGTTGTTGTAATTTATAATTGTAACTAGAATTTTAAACGCAGATTTATTTTACTTAGGAAGAAAGAAATATAATATAAAAATATATTATATCAGTTTTTGAATTAAAGATCAATTTGCCATTATTTTTTATTGGGCCAATCAAAGACTTCGGTTTGATTTTAAATCAACGTATTACTAAAGGAGAAATAAATTATATATTAATTAATCACACATACACAGTCGTCGCGAATCGAAATTTTGATGCTATTTTAGCGATCTTAAGAATAATTTGCGCCTAATTGATGATGATTTGAGATGGTCTATAGACTAATAAAAATCTATTTTGACTTTACTAACATTTACTGATTATTCCTTTAAATCTTTAATTCTACAAGTTTAATTTTAACGCTATCTTTAATAACCTATTTCGACGCTAAAACAGTGAAAATTGAAATTTAAGCCCTCATTAGGAGTCCAAGTTGAAATAAATTATATCATTATAATTGAAATTAAATTTATTTTGTTATCTTAGCTCCGACTATATGTTGTAGAATTAAAAGATTAATATAGAGCCAGCAATACGATACAGCATTATAGCCGAAAGAGACGAAGATTTTGTTTCTTCACAGTTTCAAAATACTTCGATATATTTTCGTTAAACATATCATTATTCCGATTGTTAGAGCAAAACCCTTTCTACAGAAGAGATGAAAGATGACAAAGACATACGAGAAAATAACATGCATGTTTATATGTCCAAATTCGAGAAAATCATCTATTACTGGCTCACTCGAGCGTTTCGCACAAACGGGCAAAAACGGAAATTACTTATTAACAAAGTAATCGCCTTCATGTTTATAATTCTACAGCAATGTTTTGAAAACATTCACATATATTTGTAAAATGTATGGCTAGTTCGCCGTCGAAAAAGACAGCAAATCGAATTGAACTCTTCGACCGATACTAATACTAAAATCGCTTTACACATGTGCAAACCAACTTGTGCAGCGATATCGCAGCGATTACTAATGAATAATTGTTTAATATGTCGACTTTACTCGGTGAATTTGCGAAACATCGCTACTGCATAGCGTCCTACCGAGCGCTTTTCATACGAGCGATTTTTTGTCACGCCGAGAAACGATTAACCCTAATTGATCCGCGTCAAACTGTTTTTATATATCAATAAAATATTGCTTTAACTGTAAAGCTAATCACCGCCTGCAGAAACCGCATGAGTGCTTTCGACAGATACTTCATATTTTGCAGCATGCAAGAAGTAAAAGAGGATGCTTCACTTTAACGCATTGTCACTTAACGTCCGGTTGGCCAGCAGCCAGGTAAACGCAACGAACGAGGTTGAATGTGAAGCATAGATCGCGTTATAATCCGTTCGCACATCCGTTCACCTGATGCGAATCGCTCGGCGTCGTCTCGCCTGAATTTATTCCACACTAAATTGCTAGATCATTAAGTTAAGCATGAAGGAAGTAGACTATGCGATTAAGAATATCCTGTTCCAATATATTCTACGACAGTAGAAAAAATCATTATTAATTGTTCAAGGAACGTTCGGTTCCATTGGTGTGGTTAAAATAGCTCCTATTGTTAAGAAAAACGCGTCGTTAAGTAGCGCGTCGTTGCACATGAGTTCCGAACACGAATGGAAGAGACATCAATTATAAGATTACACAAATCTTCGTTACGATTTAATGTTTTGCAGAGGAATCACGAAAATTACATAAACACGCATTATAAATTTGTTCAGCACACATTGGCTGACCGCGTCAATTTCTATTGATTATCTGAAAGCTTATCTGATGACGAAGTCACCAAAAACTCTATAAAGAAATATAATTCGAGTATATATTGGGAGTGTGAATAAGTTCTCGCCGTTTCACCATCAGATGGCGGTATAAAAATTTTCTGTGTATAATTCAAGATGATTACGCATCTATATTGAAGTTCTATAATCTATGTTTAAAATCAGTGCGTGTCTTTCCATTAACCTATAAAGAACATTTTCTTTTCGTAGCGTAAAACATGTCAAATTTCGTGCCAAATAAACCGTTTTTGCAGGGAATTTTACTCCACTATTTTATTCAGAAGAAATCTGCAGCTGAAGCACACAGAAATCTTGTGGAAACCTATGGTGATCATGCTCTGTCGGAAAGAACATGCACAGATTGGTTTAACCGATTTAAAAATGGTGATTTTGATGTTCAAGATAGAGAACGCAGTGGTGCACTAAAAAAGTTTCAAGACGAAGAATTGGAAACATTACTTGCTGAAGATCCATGTCAGACGCAATCCGATGTTGCAAAATCATTAGGAGTTGATTGAACAACAGTTTCGAAACGTCTGACAGCATTAGGAATGATACAAAAGGGAGGATCTTGGGTGCCGTACGAACTGAAGCCGAGAGACGTCGAACGGCGTCTTGTCACATGTGAACAGCTGCTTCAACATGTGATGAAAAGTGTATGTACTACAATAATCCCAAGCGTAAAAAATCGTGGGTTAAGCCCGGCGAAGCAGTAGCATCAACGCCAAAGCGGAATATCCACGGTTCCAAGCTCATGCTGTGCATTTGGTGGGATCAGCTGGGGGTAGTGTATTACGAGCTGCTCCAACCCAACCAAACCATCACAGGAGATCTCTATCGACGACAATTGATGCGTTTGAGCCGAGCATTGAAAGAAAAACGGCCGCAATATGAGCAAAGACACGATAAGGTGATTTTGCTGCATGATAACGCTCGGCCGCATGTCGCGTCACCGGTCAAAACATACGCTGAAATGGGAAGTCCTACCCCACCCGCCGTACTCTCCAGACACTGCGCCTTCTGATTACTATTTATTTCGATCGATGACTAACAGCCTGGCTGAGCAGCACTTCACTTCGCATGAAGAAACGAAGAAATGGATCGATTTGTGGATAACCGCAAAAGAAGTGTCGTTTTTTCGACGTGGAATTCTAATGCTGCCAGAAAGATGGGAAAAAGTAGTCTCCAGCGATGGGCAATATTTTAATTGACTTGTTTTTTTATTATTTTTTTAAATAAAGGATTTATTTTTACAAAAAACGGCGAGAACTTATTCACACTCCCAATAGTATTTTTACCTTGTTTTCTTGTTGGTACTAAGATAAATTTGTTTAATTCAATTATTCAAATTTTGTAAGCAAAATCTCGATAACGGAAATTGCTCCGAAATATTATAAGAGACACGTTGGTGTTTATGCTATGCTAGCTGTGGCTACATTTATATTGGGAGTAGAAATTAGTTCGGCCCGCTTTCAAAAGATGGCTCTGGCTGTTATGAATGTTTCATAGTGACAGCTGATTTCGGTGGTTTCAGAGAGGTTAGACATTTGTCAATAATATTCAGTTTATATCGCTTTGAGTTTCATACAAAACCCCTATTTTTTAATGTGTAATATGTCAAATTGAATATGTCAAATTTTGTGTTAATTTTGTGTTAAGCAGCATTTACGGGAGGATTTAGTTTTCTGCTTTAATTGGAAGAAAAGTGTAGCTGAGGCGCATCGAATGCTTGTAGAAGTTTATGGTGACAATGCTCCAACTGATAATCATTTAGGGAATGGTTTCGACGTTTCAAGAATGGTGATTTCAGCGTTGAAGACAAGCCTCGCTCTGAACAGCAAAAAAAATTCGAAGACAAAGAATTGGTGGCATTACTCGAAGAAGATCCGAGACAAATGCAAGAGAAGCCTGCAGAATCATTGGGAGTTACGCAACAAGCAGTTTCCGTACGATTAAAATTGGCCGGAATACGAGCAAAGACATGATAAAGTTATTCTTCTGCATGATAACGCTCGGCCTCATGTCGCAAAAGTCGCAAAAAATGATTTGGAAATGCTCAAGTGGGATATTTTACCGCACCCGGTGTATTCGCCGGACATTGCACCTTTTGATTACTGGTTGTTCCGACGGATCCAGCACGATTTGGAAGGTCACCGGTTCACTTCTTTCGCAGAAATCGAAAATTGGCTTCTAACTCGGATCGCCTCAAAAGACGAGACATTTTTTCGAGATGGAATTCGTCAATTGCCTGAGAGGTGGAAAAAAGTAGTAGCCCGCGATGGACAATACCTTGATTAATCTGTTCATTCATTTTGTTCTGAAATAAATGCATTTTTACCATAACAAAACGGACCGAACTAATTTGTACTCCCAATATTAATGAAGCCAGGAAAACCACCTACTGATTAAAATTCATATTGATAAATCTTACTGTTTCCAACAGTCTCTAAATTATTGGAAAAGTTAATATTTAAAAGACTTAAACCAATAATAGAAGAAAGAAAACTTATACCCACACACCAGTTTGGCTTTAGAGAAAAACACTCGTTGCGTGCGTGAAATCAACGCACATAAATGATAAAAGAACAAATACATAGAATCACCAATTTGATAGAAGAAGCATTGGAGAATAAACAAATATATTCAGGCATTTTCTTGGACGTACGAAAAAATTTGATAGAGTATGGTATAGAGAGAATTAAAATATAAAGTAAGCTTAACAAATCAGTATTATCAGATATTAAAATCATATATCAGCGACCTGCACTTTCGAGTTAAATATGAAGAGAAGTACTCAAATATAAAGAAAATAGAAGCGGGAATGCCACAGGGCAGTGTATTAGGCCCTATGCTGTACCTGCTATATATATGAGATTTACCAAAGCCAGCAGGAGCATCGTATCGCAACGTATTGCAACGTTTGCAGACGATATTGCGATTATGACGAGTGAAAGGGAAGCTGAAGAAGTAACCTGTAAAATACAGAAAACTGTTAATCTAGTGAGTGACTGGACTAAAAAATGGAGAATAGAATTAAACGAAATGAAATCAACGCACATAATCTTCATAAACCGCAAGATCAACAGAATATTAGTAAAAATTAATTCAAAACAAATACGATACACAAACACAGCTAAATACTTGGGAATGACTCTCGACGTTAAACTTAAATGGAAAGAACATGTTAAAAAAAAAAGAAAATTTAAATGTTATCAGGTCATCAAGGATGAAATTTGTAGAAAAAAAGGCAAAGTTGGTTGATAACTTACAAATATAAGAAATTATTTTATTCATCAAAGTATGCACACATATAGTCTATACATTTTTGCCATTTAAGCGGCTGGTTGTTCAGGCCGGTGATATAAAACCCTGGCGGACGAGAGTCAATGAATTCCTGGAAGGCCAGTTTTACAGCATTGTCGGAATTAAATTGTTTTCCTATTAAAAAGTTGTCCAAATTGCGGAAGAAGTGGTAGTCAGTGGGGGCTAGGTCTGATGAGTATGGAGGATGATGAAGAAGTTCCAACTTGAATTCCTGTAGATTTTCCATAGTCATTTGTGCTGTATGTAGTCTAGCGTTATTATGCAATAAGATAGGAGTCGATCTGTTGACCAATCTAGGCTGTTTTTCTTTAAGTTTTTGCATCATTTCGTCCAATTGGTTGCGGTATATTTCTGCTATGATCGATGAGCCATGTTTCGTGAAATCATAATAGATAACACCTGCGCTAGAACACCAAACACTCACCATCAGCTTCTTCTCATGAATATTGCGCTTTGGAGTGTGTTTTGGTAATTCATCCTTGTCCAACCACTGTCCTAAACGATTTGCGATTGTCGTATTGGATCCATTTCTCATGACAAGTGAAAATTCGATTAAAAAATGGATCAGATTTGTGACGAGAAAGCAACATTAAGCAAGCTTCCAAACGCTTTTGTTTCTGTTTCTCATTCAGTTCATGTGGAACCAACTTATCCAACTTTTTCACTTTACCGATTTGAGCTAAATGAGTTAATATTGTTTGTTTGCTAACACCAAACTTCAACGATAATTCATAGGCATTCTGAGATGGGTCAGACTCAACGGTGACCTTTAGTTCGTCATTATTGACCTTTAATTCTGGGCGACCGCGTAATTCATTTGCGAGGTCAAAGTTACCTGTACGAAATTTGGCGAACCAATTTGATACTGTCTGCTGCGTAGTAACACTAGAGCAAAATACACTATTAATGTTTCGCGCGGTCTGCGATGCCGTAGTTCCATGTAAGAACTCATACTTCATAATATTGCGAATTTTCGACCGTTCCATTTTCAACAAAATTAATTTAAAAAAAAAAGGTTTTATCGTTTTTTAGAGCTTACAATGATTTCTTTAAACAGGCGAGATATGTAACTTTCCAACCAAAGAAACAGAACGGTATTAAGCCAATATCAAATAATAAGCTGTTACAGTTGGCAATATTATTAACTACAAATTTCATCCTTGCCATCCTAATAAATAAAAAAGTTATACTGGCTTTCAAGACGAAACTCGGAGCTAACAGTATACAACAAGCTGCTGATATACCGCCAAATTCTGAAACCAACATGGATGTACGGAATATAGCTCTGGGGCTATACCAAGAAATCAAACTTTTAAATCTTGCAAATGTTGTTCCAAGATAATGTACTGCGGAACATAATTAATGCACCGTGGTATATAAGAAATCATGATTTACACAAAGACCTAAAGGTGGAATATGTCAGTGAAGAAATAAAGAAAAATGCGATAAAATATAAGCAAAAACTCGGCCAACATAACAACACTGACATGCGTAGAATAAGCAATGATAAAAATTTAAAGAGGAGGATTAAGAAGATTAAACCTATTGATTTAATGTCGAACACAGAGGAACACAACTAAACCTATTTAATTAATAATTAAAGCACAGGAATATCTTAGAAAAGGACGATGGGACTTATCACTGGGTTATATCACTACAAATGTGAACAGATATGTGCGAGGGAAATTATTAGATGAGTGTAACTCAGTTGTCATAGATATTTATAATAGTTATTTATAATAATATAAAGAAAATATCTTCATGATAATTGATTTCTCTTTCTTTAGATCGTCATTAAATGTAATAAGTGAAACGCGTTAAAAACACATGATTTTTATGATTTTATTTAACCTGAACTGCGTGTCAATATATCTGTTTCTGTGATAATGGCCACATGAAATGAACGGATACATCTACATTTGATGCAAATGAATTAACTGCAAACTTCAGAAGCGTAATTTTATTTTGCCAGCTGGCAATATTTTAAAAGATCCCATTATAATTAAATTCTGCAATTGCTGCCACATTGCTCCATGAGATTTCAAGTCGCTGATGAATCAGGCCGTCGATAAGCACCGACATTATTCACGATCGCGACGGGTAACTATAGTTTCAGATTTTTCGTGGATTGCAACGTGATCGTTTCCGTGATTGAGATATCCAAGATCGTTCTGCGAGGGACGGCCCTTCATAGATCATTCTCGATCCCGATACTTGCATGGGAAACAGTTCGGACACCAGGCATTCCTTGCGGACGTATTACGAGCTGTTGCAAGCTGATAACATCGACTAGGGATGCACTACGAAGGTGCGAACGCATCTTTCTTTTGCGAAGAAATGGAAGGCATTTCGTTAATCCACTTCGTGCCGTTCCGTGTGAGGAAATTTTTCCTTGTCGAAGCTCCGTTTCTTTCTTTTTGACCACTAGGGTGGTGCACACTTTATGGGATCGCTTGCAGTCGCCTCGATAATATCAAAACGGTTAAAACATTTGCTAACAAATGCTCGGCAATTATGCAAAGGAGAAATTAAAGAAGCGTCTTCAATTTTATCGTGATTTCGTGTCCTTGCATTTGTATAGTATACATTCTTTTAGCAACTTAACGTAACATACTGGAATAGTTTTCATCCTCGCTTATTTAAATTTCATATAAAAGTGTTAATAAAAATTTATGAAAATTATGATTATACTTTTATAACAGTACAACAGAATTGTATAAATAAATGATCAAAAATATTCACATAAGAGTATTTCATTTTATTAGAAATATAAAGATAATTGCGCTGTGAGAACATAAGATTACATGAAAATGTATAATTTTCATAAAAATAAATTAAAAAATTTATATTCTTAGATCTTCCCTACAATAATTGAACTTTTAAGAAAAAAATATGATGCGCGTCTAAACAACAAGAATCGATCAAATATTAAAAAATGACAAAATAAGAGAAAAATGTTTATTACTAATACAACATTTGTACATATCTACGTTATTTTTTTACTCATTATTATTCTCTAAACTATTGTAATCACTATTGTTATGTAAACATTTTGATATCAAGAAATAAGTCTTTTTATTCTTTCTTGCTTTTTATTCTCTTTTGCATTAAAATCCACCGCCTAAATGTTCAGCCAATTTATATTGCTGTTTTCAACTTTTCACTTTTCTTGAACTGACGAGAACCTAGACATTTCTTTAGATGAAAGAAAACGTGAAAATCACTCGGTGCAAGGTCTGGACTGTAATGAGGGTACTAAAAAAATTTCCATTAAAATTGCTAAATCTTCTGAACAGTGCAAGCAGCAATTTCTAATTATTCATTTATAATAATACACTTTTGTATTTTTCAATTTACCATCATATTTTGTAATTTGCCGCTTCATGATTTTCTAGTGCAACCAGATGCACCGTCAAAAAGATCAGTACAATACAATTCGCCCTCATTCAGAACATTTCATTTATCCGAATATGAATTCTACGCTATTGGCACTAGGACAGTTTTCATTCGTCAAACACTACAAACTTGAACTGGGAGAGAGTACAACCCGAATATGTGGCACCGAAAAAACTCGCATTCAGTGTGCACTAGTACAAACAACCGAATTCGCTGTTAGTAAATCGGTGATGAATTCTGATTTACTGAATATTGTGCGCAAATGTTCGTTTGGCGTCCAAATCGGCGAGTGTCGCATGAAACTTTAAATTGCATTATATTTCGCTCAATTTCCCATTTCTATTCCCATTGTGCTTATTAGTTTTAATAAAGATGTGGCTCCTTCAGTAAATAGACAAACTGCTTCATAAACTGTTGTTTGAACAGTGCGAGCACTGCTGTTGGTAATTTTTGAGGCCATTCTCCAAATTATCATTGTTAGTATTTTATTATTATTATAATTATTGTTGTTGTTGTTGTTATTGTTGTTGTTACTATCATTATTACTATTACTTCCTCATAACCTGTGGGTTAAGCTACAATTAAAATAAGTTATAAAGAAACGGTTTTACAAGAGCCGCCTTTCTATCTGCGCGTTGCTCCACAAAGGACAACTACGAGGGTGGATCAAATATAAACGAACCTTTTTAAATTGCGCGCCCGTCAACGGCGTGAGGGGTCTATAACGTTTTAGACAGTGGAAGGGTGTCATGTGGAAGACAGTAATAACGTTGGTGCGCCACGTGCTTCTTATTCTCAGCAGCAATCACGATGAGCGAGGAAGAGGTATATCCCGCAGTTGCACAACGTGTTATTATTAAGTTTCTCGTTAACAAAAATGTAAATGCTGCTGAAATTCGGCGCCGTTTACTCCCACAGTTCGGGGAAAGAACCCTTTCATGGGCTCGAGTAAAGCAGTGGTGTAACGAATTTAAGAAAGGACGGGAGCGTGTTGAAAACATTGCCCACCCGCGCCGTCCCTGCACCAGAATTACAGCGCAGAACACCGAGGTTGTTCGAGGACTCATTGAAGGCGATCGGCACTTAACTGTTCTTGAAATCTTTCAGGAACTTTAGTTCGAGCTGCCTATTGGTCAAAAAGGCGCGGCATTCCGATTAGAAGTTTGTTGCTTCTCCATGACAACGCCAGACCCCACACCGCAGCAGTAACACAACAAAAATTGGCCGATATGCACTGGGCTGTCCTAGAACATCCACCTTACAGCCCAGACCTGTCACCATGCGACTTCCACATGTTTGGGCCATTCAAGGAAGCCCTTGGTGGACAGCGTTTCACAACGAACGAGGAAGTGCAGCAGTTCGTGTGCAATTGGTTAGATACACGTCCGCGAACTTTTTATAATACCGAAATTAAAAAATTGTAAGACCATTAGAAAAAATGTATAGAAAAAATGGGGGACTTTGTAGAAAAATAAAAAAAATGTAAATTAGAATTGATTTTGAAAAATATATGGTTTTTTTGCAAAAGGCTTGTTTATATTTGATCCACCCTCGTACATACCTGCGCAATACAATACATCCCGCAATACAAACTGCTAACTGTAACCTCTATAGTTGTTTGAATTTCAAAAAAATAGTTTTAGGATCTCATTAGTAAGACATTAAGCATACAAAATATGTGAAAAAACAAAAAATCTATTTTTCCAATCCGAGAAAGATATATGCCTCCTTAAATTCATTTATTTAGAAGTAAACAGTCTTCAATGCTGGCACAGAGTCCTCGTGAACTACATCCAATTCGATTTTTATCTGTGCGGCCGTTAATTTCTTCAAATAAAAATGTTTTATGTTGGCACGGAACTCATTTTTCTTGATCGTAGCAAATGCAAAAGTGGACGATTTAAATGGCTATCAAACGTTAATTACTAGTCGCGTTTGGCTGAAATTTTGGCAGAGATCGGTGGAGGAATAATACTTGCCAGCAGTGATGTCATTTTATAAATTGTGATCCATGCTATCTTATGGAAATTTATAGAATTTTTTTAACTAATCTCATATCACACATTTCAATTCATTAAAAAGTAGAATTATTTGAATTTACAAAAATTCATCATTTTTTATAAATTAGAAATAAGCGTTTACAGCAGAACTATATATATATTAGGTGGTAAACTTAGTTCCTGCGGTTTTTTGTTTAAAAAACTCATTTATTTCGACATCAAAAGCAAAAAATACATTAATCGAAGTATTTTCCCTCGCTAGCTATACATTTTTCCCATCTTTCGGGCAACGCGTAGATTCCGCGACGATAGAACGATTGGTCTTTTAATGCAATCCATTCATCGATCCATTTTCGCACATCCTCGTAATTTCTGAAGTGTGTATCCACCAAGCCGTGCTGCATCGACCGGAACAAGTAATAGTCCGAAGGAGCTAAGTCTGGTGAATACACTGGGTGCGGGAGAACTTCCCACTCGAGCTGCATCAGTGTTTCTTTGACGACTTTGGCAACGTGTGGTCGAGCGTTGTCGTGCAAAAGCATGACTTTACGTCGATTGCTGGCTGCTGCTGGCCTTTTTTCCAACAATGC